TTTCGACGTTTTTAGAAAAAGTAAAATAAGATATATATATATACATACATATATGTGTGTTCTTGTAATTTTAAATAAAATAGGAGTATTAAGAGTTTGGGTGTGTTTGTTCGAGGGGTTTGGATTTTGAATTGGGATTTGAATAGTAAAAATTTTGAATTTGAATAGTTGTATAATGTGATATAAATAGGTGTTGATGTGATATTTTGAACGTAAAATTGATTTTTAGTATAATATAAAAAATGAAAAATAAGTGTTTGATTTGATGTTTTGAGGGGAAAAAATTGGATAAAGAGTGTAAATCAAATTCAATCCCCCAAACAAACACACCCTTTAATTATTCGTGTGAGACTATTTATTAAATTAGGAAATTAATACTTCTCCATCTTTCCTTAATTTTCGCATCTACGGTAAATAAGACATAAATAGGCCTGCCCGGAGGGAGTATATAAATTGTGGACAACTTTTCCTATTTGTTTACTATTTATTTTTATACATCTTGATTTTATCTAATAAAATATCAAATCAATATATAATTTAAATAAAAAATTATTTTTTTTTAAAAAAAAATCTAAATAAACACATCAATAGTTGATGGGTGAGCTTTAGGCCATCCTCCATATCTTCCATATCTTATGGGTCGTGATTCGATGTCTTGTTATTATAAGAAAATATTAGTAGTATTTTTCTAACGAATTTTTTTCATTCATAAATCTTTTTTTTTATTATTATTATTAATATTAGAGACATAATTTAATAAATTTCGTCTCTAACATTTACGTAGCTAACATCAAGTGTCTTTAATTTCCATTACAAATATATTATTTTTTATAATCTATATTTGTATTGAAACTAATTCGATGTCTAGTATTTAAACTATGACATTATGGTCACGAATTCACTTTACATCACTAAACTATTTTTTTACGGGAAGTGATAATATTTTTTTTTTAAGAGTATATATGTATGTATTATTGAGAATAGTAAAATTATTCAATAAAAAATGAAGTCTTAGGCTATGTTTAATTTTTAAAGGTATATTCAAATATATATATATATAACTGAAAACGTAAATAAATAAATAGAGCCTTTTTTAAAAAAGTAAATTAATAATTCCTTAACTTTAAAGACGAAATATTCAAAATCAAATTCATGATTTTTTATATCACAACATTCACTATATATATATATATATTACAATATTATATGCATAAGATTACAAGAAAGTTAATACACAATTTAATGCTTACAAACTTTCTAATTAAATTTAATAAACATTGCAAAATCATGACAATTCAGAATACAATAGTAACAATACACATGACAAGATAATATCAATCATTGTTATATAATACTAGCATAATTAAAATATTATTAACTTTTATTTTAATAATTTTTTGAAGTAAATTATCAAATTTAATGTTTTCAGTTTTTGAAAAAATATATATATATAAAATTACATAGTGTGAAAACTAAAGAAATATATTGCATGAGCGGATTATCGTCTTGTTCTTAATTCTTTAACATTTACTTTTTTTACTAAATATATTTATATTCAATAGTTATTTTACTCCACAAATATAAAATGAAACAAATATATATATATATATATATAAACACTTTCGTTTACATAGAGATTTTTTCGGTTTCGAAGTTTTAATAAAATCAGGAACAATAAAAAATTAATAGTTAATATAATATTTATGTAAACACGACTTTTTTATTCTTGAATGTTAAAATAAACCAATATTTTTCATGTCTCCTTAAATACTCACAATATATATATATATATTGAAATATTCGCAAAAATATAACCAAAAATATACAATAACATAAATTTCCGACTAACTAATTGTTAGAATTGTTGATTCTTCCGCTCGGACCTGATTTTGGAATTACCTTTTTAAATAATATACCCTTAAGCGTAGATATCAATCTTGAAATATGATTGATGGGTCTGGACTCGATCTTCCTCTCGAACTTGATTTGATTTTGAAATTTTTTTTTCATCTCAGCGTCGTCGGTCGAGATCTTTGCGAATAATCTTGAAGTTTCTGAAGGAGTAAGAAGAAAAAACAAGACAATTAAAATGTAAATGGAAATCACAATTCTAGAATTAGCCATAAGATATGAACACAAAAGAGAAGAAAGTTGAAATGTATAGAATTGGGTGTTATTTGTGTGTGTATATATATATGGGAGGGATTGTAATTTTCTAATAAGGAATCTTTGTAATTATTGAAATTTGGTGGCAAAAAAAGTCAAACGAGTGTAATAAAAGGGAAAGTCAAAAGCCATCCAAAGGGATTAGAGTGAATTAAAGAAAATTAGATTTAATTAGATTACACCAGAATATTTTGCTAATTTCATATAAATTGTGCGGTTAAAATAAAAATAAAAGTAAACAAGCCTCAAGTATTTTAAACAAGGACTATTTTTTTTAGTGAAAAAATTTTTTATAAATGTTATTAAAAAAATATATAATATATACATATTAACATCGTGTATATTATTCATTTAAAAAAAACAATGATTTAACAAAAAAAATATTTTTTATATTAACAATACAACTCTCATACCTAACATAAAAATACATTTATATATATAAAAAAAAATACAAAGTGAATAAACCCAATATATTGAGGTGATAATTGAACGGGTTTGCGATCAATTATCTTTTTGGGGTTTTGTATTAATTAAAAAATAATACTCCCTCCGTCTACACACATAGTATACATTTATTTTTGGCGCGATGTTTAAAAAATAATAGTATTTTAATTATAGTGGGTAGTTAAAAGTAGTGTAATTATATTTTTGGCCTTGTTTTTTTGGTGTAAAACTAATGATGTGATGTAAAGTAAGAGTATTTGTAAAAAAAAGTGAAATATTTAATGACATGTTTACTTTGTAATTGGACGTCCAAAATAGAAACATGTACACTAGGTGGACGGAGGGAGTAGAATTTTATTGGTAATTGGAAGTGTTAAGGAGATTTGAATATTTTTATTATTTGATTTATATATAAATTAACTGTATATGCAATGGTAAATTTGTAATTTAAGTAAAAATTAATAGTATTGCAGTATCAGTGTATTATTTTTATTAAAATAAAAAAAAATATTTTTGAATGAAACAGATAGAAAAAAAAAGTATTTTAAATTTGGATGCAACAAATAATATATTTATTTTAAAATTTAATTTAATATATATTAAAGTATTTTAAAAATTGTGTGTTTCTTTTGGGAGAATTTGAAAAAAATTATTTTGAATTTGACATTAAAATAATATTTAATAAAATATTTTGTGAGAAAAGAAATTATATATATATATATTTTAAATCAAGACTTTCAAAATAATAAAATACCAGAAAATTTAACGTAAAAACACAAAATTCTTTGAGGTGTTTAGAACTGTTGTTACTGTATTTAAGATTTTAATGGAGCGAACAAACTGCCAAAGTTTTGATGCAGCTCATAATTATTGTGGCATTAAATGACTGGTGGGGCCATTTAAATAATAAGGGCCCACCCTTCATTTTCGGATATATTTGTATTAAGTGTAAATTATATAAATTATATAGCACTATCTCATGTTTTAGTGAAAATATACAAAATATAAAATACTGTGGTTTTTATTTATTGTGTGAAATTCTTTTTAACAAACATCTTTATTATCCAAAATTGATATTTGATTCTAAATAAGGACATAAATTACACAAATTTTATATAAATAAAAAATACAAAAATATTTTAAATATTTTTTTGAATAAAATATATAAATAAATAATTTATTAATTCTTTATTTTTATAGTTTTTTAAGACAAATTGTTATCTGATTTTTATAAAAATTATTTACTTATTTTATTTTAAAACATTATTTAAGATATTGCGTAATTTAAATTTTTATTTAAAACAAAATATTATTTTTGGATAAGAATGGTGTTCATATAAATTTTAATATTTGATGCATTTTTATTCAAAGATCGTGTTATATAATTTACCCTTGTATTAATATACTCTATCCGTTTCGTCCATTGATAATTCGTTTTTTTTTTTTTTTTTTATTCATCCTATAATGATCTTTTCTATACCATATTTAACAAATATGTTTCTCTTTTCAATAACAAATATTTTTGTTTATATTTAAAACTTATCAATTTTTTATTTATTTATATTATATAAATTTTTATTATTTATAAAATAATATACATATTGTATACTATTTTGTCGAAATATAATATTAAAAATATTTAAAATATCAATAATACTATTCATATAAAAAAATGATAAAATAAATTATTAATAGTTTATTATCTACACTATCTAAATTCCTAACAAAATGAGTTATCTGACTCAAAATTATATCTTATTATTAATAATTTATTAATTTATGCTGTTTTTAATCAAAAAGAAAGAAGTATAATTTTTAAATAATGGATTTATTTACTTTTTAATTTCAAATTTAATTTTAAAATAAAATTTAAATACCGTTAGGTTTAACTTGAAATATTTACATATATTTTTAATTAATTGAAAATTTATTTACTTTTTAATGAATTGAACTCAATTCAAATAATTTGCAAATACGATGATTAATCGAAAATTTGAATTCGAGTACTATAGGCAATTTTGAATATTGTTCAGCTCTGTTTGAATACATAATTGTCTGTTTACAAATATATGAAGGGTGTGTTTGTTTGGATTTCTACTAATCATTCTATTTTTTCCCCAAAAATATTAAATAAAACACCTATTTTTTATTTATTATATTATATTAAAAATTAATTTTACATTCAAAATATTACATCAACGCCTATTTATATCACATTATACAACTATTCAAATTCAAAAATTTTACTATTCAAATCCCAATTCAAAATTCTAACGGCCAAACAAACACATTCGAACTGTAACCACACTTGGCTCGAACAACAAAATAAAAAGGTTAATAGGAAAATACAAGTGGGTGAAATTATAAATAAGAGAACCTTTGAGGACCCAAGGGAAAATACGCATTCTTCTTGCCGGTCTCCCGTTTTGACGTTCATCTTCAAGCCGACCGATCGAGGTTGCAGATTCATTCGCTCCTCCGATCATTCCTTGTCTCCATGCAATTCGTCATCACCTCCAGAGATTCCGCTTGCGCAGATTTCAGAAGAGTTGACGAATTCAGGAATTACGATGATTATTGATAAATCCCGCGTGGAATCGATCGTGTCGATATTCGTTACTGTTTACCCTCACGAGATATCTGCATTGATTTCATCCGCCTCTTCGTTCTTCTTCGTAAGCCAATTCGACTTGAAATTTTTGTTTGAATGTGTATCACTGAATGGATTACTGTGTTTCTAAGCTCTGGACATTCGGTGCAGATTCTGAGCGCCTATTTCGTGGTTCTTCCGTTGCGAGATGAAGGCGCGATTTCGCTAGGGTTGGAGAATCTTCCGGTGCTTTTCGTTGGTTCTTTGTGCCTAACGTTGGTTGCTGCCCCCGTTTCCACTCTCATTTTCTCACGACCTAATCTGTCCAAAGGAAAGGTATGAATCGTATGAATTTTTGAGGAAATTATGTTGCAGTGATGACTTTCAATTTCATTGTAAAATTGGTTTATCTACGAATTGATGATTGTAAATTGAATTTTCATTTGTACGTATTCTGAAAATCTACATTACTCTTTGCTCTCCATTTATGAAACCTTACATTTGGAAAATTTGACAGGCTTTGGTGTTGATACATCGGTTTTTTAGCTTGTCCCTTGTTCTCTTCTTCATTCTGTGGGTATTGTCGACACCTGACAATTCATCAGTGAACACCAAGGCAAGTGCATCATGTTTTCAGGCTCTATGAGTTTTCTGTTATATGTTTATATAATTTTGTTGGAACATATGTTTGTGCAGGAAACCGATCGAGTTAACTCCATTGTAAAACATGAGCTGAAGCTTGCAGTTAACCAGACTGCTTCAGCTAGCTCAGATGTGTGGAAGACTCATGGGTGGCTTTACATTGTAGTGAGGATATCGATGTTTCTTTGGGTAAACTTATGCTTTTGCTTTGAGATGGCATCAGCATCTGTAGTTTCCTCCGAAATAATTTTGTAGTTTCCTTTTGTACTTTGTTGTCAGCAGGTTGCGTTGCTTAATCTTATAACAATCTCCTCTACATGGGCGAGGGTGATTGACGTGACAGATAGCGAGGTTGGTGTGCTATCTATTTCTGTGAGAATTTATTCTTGATTTAGTTGAACAGAGGGCAAGAATTAGCTAAACTCAAACCATTGTTTTCCGGAGTCTTAGTTTTAACATGCAGTAGACTAGGATTGGGATTATGCATCTTGTTCTAACTTCTAATGTCCTAGTGGGATTACGTGCACAATGACTTTCTTGAATTCAGTCAGGTTCAAGACTCTTTGGATTTATTGGTGCTGGAGCGACACTAGGGCAACTTTTCGGCTCGCTCTTTGCCACAGGAATGGCTTGGTTAGGCCCATGTATGCCTTCTATATATACCGTCCTCTCTCTTTCTCTCACTTATTTGTTTTGTGACTGTGAATTTGTTGTTTTGCTTTTTGTAGATTTGCTGCTTTTTTCTGCACTCTTGTTAGAATTTGCCGCACAATCTTCAAAAGGTATACACAAGGAGATTCCTCAGCATCCAGAAGAATTGACTCCCATCAGGTCTTATATTTTTATCTCCATGTTTCATAGTTTATGTTCATTGCTATAATTATAATTGCCTTTTTTTTTTTCTTTTTTGGTTTTTGTCTGGATATGTTATCTGAAGACTGATGAAGAAAGTTTCAAGGAATGATTGGGTTTAGTAATTATATTCTTTATAAATAAATTTTATTGGAATTCTATTTGGATCTTGAATCCTTGATCCATTTCTTTATTGGATTGTATGCACACCATCATTTGCATGTATTTCTCTGCCTAAATTGACAAGCAACTTTACAATTTGTCTCAGTATTGAACTTCAATATGGTCATAGTGTAGGGAATTACCAAATATAGATTTATTTATTTTTTTCACCACATTTTGTTGGGCTTGAAACCATGTCTAGACGAGATCCTCATTTCTTTGCTTTAGGCTATAATGTACTTACGTATATATCTATATATTAACTTAAAATTATTCATATGTGCGTGGATTAAATTTTTTGAGGAAAAATTATTGGATAGGATTCATGTCTAATGTTAACTTTAATTGCTTCTTCGTTCTTGTAGAAAAAGTGATCCTGATCATACCAATGGAGATGATGGGCAAAATGAAACTTCTATAAAAACGTCTTCACCCAGAACTACAGGAAAACATCAGATCTGGGTCATTTTCGAGGGACTGCAGCTTATATTATCTTCAAGTTATTTATTACAAGTTGCTCTATTTCTATGGTTAAGTGCAGTGATATCCTCTTTCTTCTACTTCCAGGTGAGAATGCATTGGTAGGTTTGTTCCACATTGGTTATACTGAATCATTATAAGTACACAAATATATCATGATACAAAAATGCTACGCACTAGTAAATATGCTAAGAGTGTTCGGTTTTTTTATTACATTATCTTCAACTGATGTAGCCTTAGTTCTGTACATTATCTTAGGAAAGACTTGGATGCAATGTGAAGCAAGCAATATTATGTTTGAATTATGTATGTGGGACTTAAACTATAGAAGCATTATCATTATGCGTGTATAATGGAGCATGATTCTAGGCTTCGAACGCTCAAATCAGTCTGTAACTTTGACTTAAAAGGCATTTAGACTGTAGTCGCCAACTTACTTATTCTATCTCCCCATTTTACTGCAGAAAGTAACTATTATTGCCGATGCAGTTGCAAGTCCTGTTGGTAGAAGAAAATTGTTTGCACAAATCAACAGTGTTATTGCTGTTTTCATCCTCAGCGGACAACTTACTCTAACAGTAAGGATTAGGCCGGACATATGGAGTGGCTGATGCCTTCAACTGATTTGGAAACTTACATTATGAAAACTTCTACATTTCCATTTCCTCGACAATCTTCCCTTTTTTCTTTTTTTTTTTTTTTTTTTTTTGTGGTGGGGGGATTGGGGGGTGGTTATGAAAAGTTTTTATGTAGTTGTCAATATTTGTGCAGTTGTGTTTGATTCATTTTCGTTGATGCTCACTATAGTCACCTCCAAAGGAATATTTTCAGAAAATATGTTTTTCTGGCAGGGGCGCATCCTCACTACGGCTGGGGTCACCATAGCTATTTGCTCTTTACCGTTTGTTGGGTTTCTAAATCTGGTTGCTCTAGCTGTATGGCCATCGTGGATAGCTGTTGCAATATCTGAAACTCTTCGGAAGGTTTGATTTCATTTATGGCCTAATTTGGAATCCCCAACTGAACTAAAACATATGTTGCATCCCTTGATTTCTGCTCTCTTTTTCTTGCCAGGTGGTTATGTATGTTGTTGCAAGGCCCGGGCGAGAACTACTTTTTACTGTTGTCACACAAGACGAGAAGTATAAAGCAAAGGTTTTATGCACTCCTAACTCTGCCTTGATATGTTTTGATATTTCTTAATAGTAAAAATTTGAATGAAAAATTAAGTATTAGATGTAATATTTTAAATGAAAATCAAATGTTTGATTTAATAGTTTTAAGTGGAAAGCTTTTGATAAATATTTTTTCCTTTTTTAAAGTTTCTTTACTAAATGCACTCTTTAAGATTTTCTATAAAAATATATTATATTTGTCTTTCAAATTCATGCTCACTTTTTTTTTCTTAGAATTACTAGAAAAAAATCTTCTCATTTTATTTTTAATATAAAATTATATTATTTTTGTACTTTTTTACTAAAATCATGCCCAAACATTTGAGCATATATTTTAACGACAGAAGGAGTACTACCTTTTTCCTCAAAATACATCACATCCGAATCATTGTTCTGATAAAAAGCCAAAACCAAAATCCAAATAAACAACAAAAGGGCAGATATATTGTGTATACATCAATATTATCTATCTATCTATCTATCTATATGTTATGCATTATTTACTGTCAAAATTGTGTCGGTGCAGGTATGCATAGATGTCATCGTGCAAAGGCTTGGGGACGCGTCTGCAGCCGGGCTGTACAAGTTACTTTTCAGCACTTTAAATGGCAAAGCATCCGCAACCTCGCTGTTTGCATTGCCTGTACGCATTGGTTTTGGTTTTAGTTTTTGATTCGATTGCTACTTCTTGCGGCAAATGAAGTCTAGATAAACTAATAGAAGCTTGTTTGTTCATCCAGGTTTGTTTTGTATGGATAGCCGTAGGTTTTAATTTAGGCCGGCGGCAAACACAGCTTGCGACGATGCGAGCAGCGTCGTCTCGACTGGCCGGAAGTTAAAGGAAAGGCAAGGCAGGCGACGTTTTGTAGGTTAGAACTGTGGAAGCGAAGCACAGACTCAATCCATCACCAGGTTGGTTTATTGTGTAAATGGCTTTGTCCATCTTCTCTCATTTTTCCAGGTTGCTGAGGCTTTCTATATATATATATATATATATGTATAATGTATTGTTATTTAAACAAATATATACATATATAAAATAAATATAATTAATTAAAATATTATTCTCTCCGTCCCAACTCAAATTACTCTTGTTGTGAAAAATATCAACAATATTTTTTACTATTTTTGTTTATCTCACTCCAATTATCTCTTTAAAAGTAATCATACAAAAATAAAAAAAATACCTTTAATTTCTAGAACCATACAAAAATGAACTCGGATCCCAATCATGGATGTGGGTGGATCATAACGGGATTCATAATTGATGTTTTTTTAAAAAACAATTTGAATGAATAGTAAAAATTAAATAAAATATTATAAAAGTACACATTATTATGCTCTTAGAAAATTAATAACAATATAACTCTATTTATTTATAAATTTTACTATTCGATAATTTTTTAAAACAAAAGTATAATTTTCTTTTTTTATTTATTAAAATTTAATTTTACATTTAACTTCTATAAATGGTTTAAAATTTAAAATTGTTGCGAATACATAGTCCATAAAAATGTATGCACCAAGATGACTTGCGCTATTCTCACTAGGCGCACCAAGATGACTTGTCACTCATCCTGAAATTATCTTACACAAACACAAATGTTATCTAAAACGAGTTATCGACAAGAAATATGCACAGTATTGAGTGACAGTCTATTCAATTTAATCTCTTCAACACACCAGGAGTATCATATTAAAACAGCTGAAATAGGCGAAAAAGGCAATAAAAAAGTTACTGAAAACCAAATTGTAATCTGATTAATATACATCAATCATCATCCATGCTCTGATATTTTTTTCAGATAAATATATACCGGATTGAAGATTTAGGTATCTTTTTCATCATACTCTTTTATGATTGAATACATTATCCATATGTTTTAATCACTTAACTGTAATTATACATACCATTGATTTTAAAAATATAACACCAATTTTATCCAACTTGATCAAAATTTCATATATATATATATATTCTAGGGTTGAGAGCAGTAATGCGGATGCTATTTGCAGTCGTATGGCCGGCGGCGGTGTGGAGAGCGACAAGGTGTAGTCCGAGTAACGGAAGCGTGCGGATTAATACGACTTCCGACTCCTGGAACTCCATTCGAGTTCCGAACGAAGGCATCGAAGAAGAGAGGTGAAAATTGGTAATAATCGAGCATTGATGCAGTGTTTATTTACTTTATATTTCATCTTCGTGTTCAGTAGTAGTTAATTTCTTGTCATTCGACATCCTTAGTTCCTAAGAAATCTGTATTCATGCCGACGAACATGTTTGATGCAATAATCGATACATGCATATATATGAGTTCGAGATCTGTAATACGGCGAACTCTGAACCAATCTGCTGTTTTATACTTTTATTATGCTGTTTTGTTTTGTTGCATTACCTCTGCAGATAGAACACTGCGTTGCTTCAATGGCGGTTTTGATGCAGATGAAAAACTCCGATCTTATCTGAACTAATGTATGATGCTTTCCGTGATGCAATAATCTGTTCTCTGCCATTTAAATTCTGTACTTTCCTGTATTGAAGCAAAATCTAGCAAATTTGCATAATCCGTTTTCCTCAGTTAAAATGCTTGATCTACAAAGAATCCTTCTGCTTCAAACACCATGCCTTTGCATTAAAATTATCAAGAGTTACATGTAAGGTGAAGTAGTTAGAAGTTTTCCTAATTGAGGTTCAACCATTGCATGATTTTATATAATTGGTTAACATTCAACATTCTCTTTCTTACTCTTGATTAAATTACAGATTATGCACACACAATCTTCAAATTATCTGAAATTGCAAATTTTATTGAATCAAAGTGTTCATCTATTATACAGGCTGAATTTGATCCTATAAGATGGGTTGGATAAATCATGATACATATATGCTCACAGTTTGGAGAATATCAGAAGGATCTCCCTTCTTCTTTCAGTTTCTATATCTCCTCCGGCATTCACAATTTGTCCAGGTAAATTCCCTTCTCCTATAAATGTTAGGGTGTGTTCTGTTATATATATGTATATATACATATTGTGTGTGTGTTTGAGTTTTGGTTTTTGGATAACATAGTTATTGGATGTGATATTTTGTATCGAAAATTGGTACATTGTTACTGGGAATTGGGATGTTGCATATTAGAAAATTTGAAAAAAAAAAAACTCGAAAGAGAATAGAACCTTAATTCTCATTTCTCCATGTTTGTATGACTAATCAGAAAGAAAACATGATATATAGTGAAAAAGGATAAGATGTTTTATTTATTAGAAAATGCCTGTGGTGTATGTGCTTCAGTATGATACATGTAATTACTACGTTCACTTTCTTCGTTTCTCAATTACTTCTTGAAACTCCTTGCATCAATTCCTTTCCTCCAAATAATCGTGACATGGCCATTAATCCCGATCCTCTCTCACATTCTGCGATTGGTATTAGAGACTTCCCAGCAAAGAACCGTCCAATTTAGTTATACCTTTCATGCAATATATCAAAAGAAGTTATCATGACAGGATAGGAATTTCTTTGTTATGAAGATCCTGTCTTGTGATCTTGGGGCTCAGGAGGCAGAAACTATCTACAATATAGACTACATATGAGACCTGAATTTAAAATTGGTAGAATGGTTCGAATAGATGGGATTAAATGCTCTCTTTATCTTTACTTATATTTCCAATTTTGCAATCTTGTGAGTCTTTGGCTTAACTGTTTGCTTGTTTGTAATATGTAATGTTTCTTCAGGGGAATGTTGGTAATTTAGTTCAGTTGTTGTCATGATTCAACCTTCCTTGATCTGATCTCCTACTCTTTGCTCTTGTTGATGGTGGTAGCTGATAGAATTCTTCTTTCGGATGGTGCAAATGATCAGGTACGAACAACCACATGCATACAATGCAGATGTTTTAATCTCATTTAAATTGATTTGTGGACTTTTAAGTTTGTTTGGGTGTAAGAAACAGCAGCCAGCAATTAAGGTTATGAATAGTATAATCAGTAAGCAGGAGGAGGGAGGGGTATGCATTCTGTACGTCCAAATCAGCAGGCAATGAAATGCAATCTCCGGTAAAGTCACTCTCATCTCATTTTATTCATCAGAGCTTTGTTCTGAAAAGTGCATAGAATGTCTTGCCATGGTTGAGAGTTAGGGTGTGTTTGTTTGGAGGTTTGGAATAATAAAAATTTTGAATACATAAACAAGATGTTGATATGATGTTTTGAATATACAATTGATTTTTAAAACATAAAAAATAGGTGTCTGAATTGATGTTTTGGGGGGGGAAAAAATCCCCTAAATAACCACACCCTAAGTTAGATAGATTTTTATTTTTATTTTTTAATTAATGTTCAATATATAGTGTTTTTTATAATATATAAAGATGATTAAAAGAAATTTAATAATGATTAATAGTTTTTTATATAAATAAGGACACGTTTTAGATAACAAAGTTTACTATGATATATTAACTTTTTGAAAAAAAATGTGGAATTCTGAATGGTATGTAAATATATATTTATTGAAAAAGAGAAAATTTGTAAATATCTAGTTTTTCTAAGAAACTTTATACTAACGTTGTTAAATCGAGTAGTTCGTACTTCGTTATAACTTTAATTGACATTGCTATATTATAGAGAAAATTAATGCCCAAAAGCCAGAGGGACAAAACAAGGCCCAAAAGGAGCACAATTATTAGAAGGAAACAATAAATAGCATACATTCAACGGGTCAACCCAACGGAAAAGGCCCACAAGCTGTCGGCCCGAGCCCAACATGCCCAAACGATATCGTTAATTCTGTCGGATGAAGGATAGACCAATAAGCTCACAAACGACAGTGGGACATTCTATTGGCTCTCATTTATAACGGGCTTACGTTCTGTCGGCCCATCTATGGTAGGCTCATGTGATGTTTGGCAGGCCATACAAGTCCAATGTTACCATGCATTACATCATGTTGGCCCATTGTCGACAGGTCTAAATTGAAAATTCATGTGCTGTCGGCTCCTTTCCGACAGGTCCATGTGGCAATAGCTGCCTGTCGGCCAGTCTCCAACAAGCCCATGAGACGTCTGCAGCCCTTGCCGTCCCAATACTGGGAGGAGAGGCCCATCCGGAAAAACTCATACTGTCGGCCTATTACCGATAGGCCAATTCGAGAATTTATGTGCTGTCGGCTCATATACGACAGGCTCATACTAAAATTCATCTCTTGTCGACCCATTAGCGAGAGGCTCAATTCGAGAATTTATGTGCTGTCGGCCCATAACAGACAGGCCCATACTGAAATTCACCTCTTATCCGCCCATTACCAACCGGCCTATATTAAAATTCACCTCTTCTGGCCCATTACTAACAGGCCCAATTCGAGAATTTATGTGCTATCAGCCCATTACCGACAGGGCCATATTAAAATCCATCTATTGTCGGCCCATTACCGACAGCCCAATTCGAGAATTTATGTGTTGTCGGCCCATAACAGAAGCCCATATTAAAATTGATCTCTTGTCGGCCCATTATTGAAAGGTCTATAGTAAAATTCACCTTTTTCGGCCCATTACCGACAGGCTTAATTCGAGAATTTATGTGCTTCGGCCCATTACCGACAGGGCCATATTAAACTTCGCCTTTTGTTGGCCCATTACCGACAGGCCCAATTCAAGAAATTTTGTGTTGTCGGCCCATAACCGACAGGCCTATATGAACCATGGTTATTGTCGGCCCATTAAAGACAGGCCCATTTAAACCCATCAATTGTCGGCCCATAACAGACAGCCCAATTAGAGAATTTCTGTGCTGTCGGCCCATAACAGACAAGCCCATATTAAAAATTGATCTCTTCTCGGCCCATGACTAAAAGGTCCATATGAAAATTCACCTTTTTTCGGCCCATTACCAACAGGCCCAATTCAAGAATTTATGTGTTGTCGGCCCATAACCGACAGGCCTATATGAACCATGGTTATTGTCGGCCCATTACCGACAGGGCCATATTAAAATCCGCCTTTTGTTGGCCCATTACCGACAGGCCCAATTCAAGAATTTTTGTGTTGTCGGCCCATAACCGACAGGCCTATATGAACCATGGTTATTGTCGGCTCATTTAAAACCCATCTATTGTCGGCCCATTAACGACAGCCCAATTCGAGAATCTGTGCTGTCGGCCCATAACAGACAAGCCCATATTAAAAATTGATCTCTTCTCGGCCCATGACTAAAAGGTCCATATGAAAATTCACCTTTTTTCGCCCCATTACCGACAGGCCCAATTCAAGAATTTATGTGTTGTCGGTCCATAACCGACAGGGCCATATGAAAATTCGCCATATGTTGGCCCATTACCGACAGGCCCAATTCAAGAATTTTTGTGTTGTCGGCCCATAACCGACAGGCCTATATGAACCATGGTTATTGTCGGCCCATTAAAGACAGGCCCATTAAAAACCCATTGATTGTCGGCCCATTACCGACAGCCCAATTCGAGAAGTTCTGTGCTGTTGGCCCATAACAGACAAGCCCATATTAAAAATTGATCTCTTCTCGGCCCATGACTAAAAGGTCCATATGAAAATTCACCTTTTTTCAGCCCATTACCGAAAGGCCCAATTCGAGAATTTATGTGTTGTCGGCCCATAACCGACAGGCCTATATGAACCATGGTTATTGTCGGCCCATTACCGACAGGGCCATATTAAACTTCGCCTTTTGTTGGCCCATTACCGACAGGCCCAATTCAAGAATTTTTGTGTTGTCGGCCCATAACCGACAGGCCTATATGAACCATGGTTCTTTTCGGCCCATTAAAGACAGGCCCATTTAAAACCCATCGATTGTCGGCCCATTACCGACAGCCCAATTCGAGAATTTCTGTGCTGTCGGCCCATAACAGACAAGCCCATATTAAAAATTGATCTCTTCTCGGCCCATGACTAAAAGGTCCATATGAAAATTCACCTTTTTTCGGCCCATTACCGACAGGCCCAATTCGAGAATTTATGTGTTGTCGGCCCATAACCGACAGGCCTATATTAACCATGGTTATTGTCGGCCCATTACCGACAGGGCCATATTAAAATTCGCCTTTTGTTGGCCCATTACGGACAGGCCCAATTTAAGAATTTTGTGTTGTCGGCCCTTTACCGACAGGCCCAATTCAAGAATTTTTGTGTTGTCGGCCCATAACCGACAGGCCTATATGAACCATGGTTATTGTCGGCCCATTAAAGACAGGCCCATTTAAAACCCATCGATTGTCGGCCCATTACCGACAGCCCAATTCGAGAATTTCTGTGCTGTCGGCCCATAACAGACAAGCCCATATTAAAAATTGATCTCTTCTCAGCCCATGACTAAAAGGTCCATATGAAAATTCACCTTTTTTCGGCCCATTACCGACAGGCCCAATTCGAGAATTTATGTGTTGTCGGCCCATAACCGACAGGCCTATATGAACCATGGTTATTGTCGGCCCATTACCGACAGGGCCATATTAAAATTCGCCTTTTGTTGGCCCATTACCGACATGCCCAATTCAAGAATTTTTGTGTTGTCGGCCCATAACCGACAGGCCTATATGAACCATGGCTATTGTCGGCCTATTAAAGACAGGCCCATTTAAAACCCATCTATTGTCGGCCCATTACCGACAGCCCAATTCGAGAATTTCTGTGCTCTCGGCCCATAATAGACAAGCCCATATGAAAATTGATCTCTTCTCGGCCCATTACTGAACGGTCCATATTAAAATTCACGTTTTTTCGGCCCATTACTGACGGTCCATATTAAAATTCACCTTTTTTTGGCCCATAACCGACAGGCTTAATTCGAGAATTTATGTGCTTTCGGCTCATCGCCGGCAGGGCCATATTAAAATTCACCTTTTATTGGCCCATTACCGACAGGCTCAATTCCAGAATTTATGTGTTGTCTGCCCATAACCGACAGGCCTATATGAACCATGTTTATTGTCAGCCCATTGCCGACAGACCCAAATTATAATTCACCTCTTTTGGGCCCATTTCCGACAGGTCCGTATGAAATCATGATTATTTGGCCCATTCGAGAATTGAGGAGTTGTTGGCTCATATCGACAGGCCCATATAACGTTGACAGGCTCTTCAGGCCCAGTACTATTACTTTGCGTACACGCCTATATTGAAAATCAACTCTTGTCGGCCCATTTGTATCAAGCCCAATAGAAAACTCAAGTGTCACCTCATTTCCGACAGGCCCATGTGTCATCAGGTGTTTGTCAGCCAATTTCCAGCAGGCCCATACAATTTTAGCAGGCCTTCCAGGTCCAATAATACCTTTGCGCTGGGCCTATAGGCCCAAATGCCTACACTCAGACCATTTTCATGATTCCCATGTATATAGAACTCATCCATTTCCGACAGGCCCACATGGCTTCAGAATGCCTGTGGCCACATGCAATGTTAGTAGGCCTTCCTCGCCCAATATTATGCTGAGCCCATTTCCTACAGACACACGTGAGTGTATCAAACCTCCTGTTCGCCCATCACTTATAGGCCCACATTTATTGGCAGGCTACGAAGGCCCAATTTACAATCATACTAAAAATCCAGAGTCCAAATATAGCACTAAAGAGGGAAATGATCATAGGACCCAGTATTCCATCTAACCCATTTTAACGACGAAGAGCACTACAAAATTTTTAAGCCACACAAAATTCAAGAAATCAAAACCAACTCAAAAACAGACACAAGATGATATAATACACACACACACACACACATATATATACATATATAGAGCGAGTAAGAGAGAGAAAGACCTGAGAACTGGCGTTTTGATATCAAACATCATCATCGGAGGGCTCGAACACGATCCTGAATAATATTCCTTTCCCAATCTGCAATATCCTCAAATGCATCTTCTCCCAACTCCTCAAAAGCCGCCTCCTTCCAAGGTTCGCTCTTAGCCAAATCATACGTTGCTCCTCTAATCGCTCTCCGGTTAGGCCCGCACGGTCTCTTCGATGTCACCGTGCTGTACGCCATCTCCAGCTAGACATGTTGGACGACACAATTATAGCATACGAGCAAAAACAAGATTCTCGAATTTAATTTGTTGGTCTTACATTCATATTGCAGAACCAGAACATGTAAGCTATTGCCACTGCCGGCGCTCTCCCCAAACCGGCAGTACAGTGAACGTATACTCTCCCATTCCCCTCTGACATCGCCCACTCTACTGAGGCCACTGCTCCAGGCAACATACTTCTCAACGAATCTGGATCAAAATCTTTCGCCTGATACCGGTTAGTATATTTCTATCAAATCCTTACTTCATTTTGTGTCGTCAAATTGCATATATGTATATAAAAAACTATTTATAATCTACTCGTAGTTTGAAAAGTCTGAACCATACTGCATGAAGCTCTCTTTGTGTCTTTAAAGATATTGCACAAAGTCCCCTAAAAATTTCATAGGACTCTTGTATTCTGTGCAATGTTAGTTTTTAAATCATGAAAAGAATATTACAGACTTTTCAAATCTTAGGTGATTATAAACAATTTTGCCATGCTCACAAACACTTTGCAATTTCCTAAAAATGATACCGTTTTCGACTATCCCATTTCAAAGTATCATTTCCTATTTTAGAAAAAATAATCATTCGCTAATACCAAAATACCCTTTTTTAACTTTTATCTAAATTATAAAGATATCATTGCGCATACAATTACTTTATACGTAAAAGTCAAAGGCAAAAATTTCAAAATCTCGTCCACACTACCACTAGAGTAATATTTAACCGACGAAATTTGAGGATTCAAGAAGAGTGTCCTTTCTAACCAATATATGAATAAGACATGCCAGTTACCGAAGAATATTTTTTACGCTGAGAATGAAATTACGAATTGATTCATTAAATAACTTCTTCAACTCGTAATTAATCGTAAAACAGGTTAAGCAGTTGAGCAATGAGATGCAATTATGATGTGAAGAGGATTTAGCTTACCGGCCTTCTCATGTGACAAATCCCAAGCTCTTTGCACCTACTTACGATGGAATTCAGATCTATGTTCCAGTACTCGACATCTTTGTCTTGCTGCAAGTTCAGAACATATTGCACGTTCTGCTCCTCCTTCAAGTGATCAATGTCTTCAACTTTCTGAGGTTGGGAGCCGACAATAAGATTATCGGTTATCAATGTATAGTTCATGCCTGAAACCACCAAATTCTTATTAAAATTCCATAGTCGACGCCTTCGCACTCTTAACTTATAGCAAGGCATGGATCTATTAAGATTATGTCTCTGCCATTAATAGTTTTTTGTCTTTAACCCTCGAAACCAAATACTTTTGACAGTTATGTGATGAATTAAATCTACCATAGTCTGATAAATTACATTACATCTTCAATTTCATATTGAGATTTGGCATAATAAAGGAACAACACTATGCACTGCTACAAAATCTTCCATTCTCACAGTAAAACTTCACAAAAAGGCATAATACACTGAATCACCTCTTTACCAACACTCACAAGGCCACAATTAGGGTCTGCGCCATTCCAAGTTATATATTCTACAGTTATATATATATATATATATTGAGATTTAATTCAGCTTTTTATTATACAATCTTCACTTATTCAAAAACTGCACAGTTTTCGACATCAAATCCAACCCACTAGGTACAAAAATATAAATTAAAATAAATCACAAAGTAATCACACGCTTTGCAAAAAATGTCGACATTTTATCGAGTAGAAAGCACAAGAAACGGACATTGGAAAGGTGAAAGGAAAAAGTTCAGATCCACCTTTTCAGCTATAAGGTGTATTAACTATTCACTATTCACTATTCACTATTCAAGCATGTGTGTGCTCTCCAAATTATACACAAATCAATTAAGTCTCGTGCGCAACCTTGCTGAAAAGCGTATTCGAGAGATTTCATACACAAGATTTTTCTAATCCAAATCGAAAGACAGTACTACTCTATGAATCGAACAAGTGCTAGAAGATATTAATATAAATAATTTATTTAAAAATAAAATAAAAAAGACGAAAGCTATACCGACCGAGATCGTGATGATATTCGTAAGGATTTCTCATCATTTTCTTCATAGCAAGATTGTACTCTTCCATTTTGCTTTTTGAGGTTCCGACTGAAACCCTAAGTCCAGCGCCATTCGATTCGATCTCCCCCCCGGGCAATTTGTTGCTAATGCATCGACGCACCGCATGTTTATGGTTGGAAGAAGAGAAGAGGCGAAGAGAAAGTGGCGGAGGAGACGAAAGCAATGGAGCAGGAGAGGAGAAGAGAGAGAGACGGCCTAATTCCGCCATAGTTTGATTCTGGTTTCTTGTTCCTCAGATATTTTCTGAGAGGTTTCCTCCTATAGCAAATGGGAATGGGATATCAGAATATAACATGTAAATATCCTCCAGCTGTTTGGTTTGTTTCAGTCAGATAATTGAATTTGGGAAGATGAACTATTTCTCTCTAAACACAAAGAAATAAATCATATAAATATTATTTAAAAAATATAATATAATATAGTGAGTAAAACGTAGGTAAAGACATTTTTGTCTCCGTTGGTAAACAAAACTATTATATTGAGATTGAGAGAATACATTAATATATATATATAATATACTTTATTCATCCAATTAGTGCAGTAGATAGTACTTTAAATATTGTCATTCAAATTTATTCTTTTTTTTAATAAAAATATTATTTTTCTATTTTTTTATTAAAAAAATTTTTTTTTTTAATTCATTTTTTTTAAAAATTCGTGCTCGATCAAATGAGCATAATTATACATGATAAAAGGAGTATAATAGTAAGTATAACTATTTGTAAAAAAATAATTTTTTTTATAAAATAATTATTTTGTAATTTGACAATTAAAATAAAAATATGTATATTTTGTAAAACGTGATAATATTATCTTTTTACAATTTTATCTTTAGTTCCATAAGTATCCTTAAAAAAATAGTAGATAAAAAAGACCCTGGTGTGTGTTCGATTGTGATTTCAAATCAAAATATATTACTTTTTTATAAAATATTATATCATAATACTATTTAAGTAAAAATTCAAAATCTCTATTTCAAATTAATTTCAGATTACAATAAAACAATTGAAGCCTATAAAGATAAATAGTTTTCGGGTGTGTTCACTTGGTATTATGGACGGAAGTGTTTTTTTTATACGACATTAGGTATGAAAATTCATATAAGTAATATTTTATATTGAATTATTAAATTTTTAAATAAATAAAATATATATTTATAAGAAATTGTACCAAAAACAGACTAGGTAAACAAACCGAATTCATGACTTTGTTTACAAATAAATAAACCCACAATTAACAATTATTTTACCAAAAATAAAAAACAAAAAACAAGATAAAACAGACTCATTCGGATTTATTGTATTCTATTACATTTAAAGGAATGCAATCATACAATAATAGAATAATTTGGTGGTATGGAATACACTCTTACTATGAATTAAATATAAAAAATTATATGATAATATAAACAAGTATTTTTATTTTTTTTTGAATTAATAAAATATACTTTCTCTTATTCATATTTATCTATATGTAAATATATTATATTGGAATGTAATATAATATTGTAAATTGAAAGATATTTGCAATGTTAGATAAATTGTACATTTACTTAAAAAAATAAAAATAAATATTTTGTGACGACACAAACCGAAATAGAGAAATAGATAATTTGTTAAGTCACATAAATACTACTCCCTCCGTCTTAATACAATAGTCTAGTTTACCATTTTTGTCCGTCCCAAAACAATAGTCTCATTTCCATAAATAACCATATCACAATAAAATTATTCTATTTTTTAATTATTATTACACAATTGTCACTACTTTTTACACTAATATATTTATCCTTACTTTTTACCAACTATCCATATAATATATATTTTTTAAATCTCGCAAAACACAGTAAGCCTATATTTTTTGGAGGGATGGAGATTATATATTTTTAGTAATATTAATGGAGCATTATGTTACTGAAAAGTTATTTGATGAACAACCACATATAGAAATAATCCTGAATCCCTGATTGATGTTCTTTTAAAGAAAATTACATTCAATAGATAACCGAAATCTCAAGTAAAAAAATAAATAATAATAGTAATAAAGTATTTCCAACTGGTGTGATCATAGCTGAATCAAAAATAAACTTGCCTGTCAAAAGTTTTTTTTTTTTTTTTCACTAAAAAATATTTACTTTTTATTATAATGAAAATAATCACGCTCATATCATGATACCTAACTTTTAAATAAATTATAAATATATTTTTCACGTACACATAAAAATACAAATAAAAAAAAAAATGTCAAAATCATCTTAATTTTTTCTACTAATTAATAAAATATTATTACTCTCTTCTTATTTCCATCTCTCTTCGATTACAAATATATTTTTCATCTATTTTTTATTATAATTTATTATTAATAACTTGCTGATGAATGTACCTAAAATAAGTGTCCCTCAAAAGAATTCATCCTTGTTGGGACAAAGAGTGTGTTTTTTAATTTCCTATAAAAATTCAAATATATACTTTCGACTGGAATGGGAGGAGTATAGTAATATTATAATTCTTTTAATATAATTTTGAATATAATAATAAAAACTAAAAACTAAAACCAAACCAAACAATATCAAATAATATCTATTTTAGAACTACTTGCAAGTCATCTTAAATTTAAATCAATACCTCAACATAAATGGAGTCATTAACAACTCCACTTTATACTTTGGACGGCTTTTTTCTCTTTTATTTACAAACAACATGGCTGATTGAGTCAAATCATTTGATCAGTCACCACATAGAATAAAAAAATTGGATAACGGATGCAATGATGTTGTATAGTTTATATAGTGTGCTAAAATTCATAAAATATCATATAATTATAGAATTATATCATGTGTATGTGTAGTCAAATATGGGATGGGTTATTTCCTACTCTCAAACTAATCATACGAGTTCCAAACGAACTTGGAGAAACATATCTGAAAAGAATTAAATGCCATCCTAAAAGGAAACATCATATTTCCTTTCCACTTTACTAAAATAAAATTTGCATAATCCATTTATTTATTTTATCCCAAAAAATAATAATAAAAATTAGAGATATAGATGTAAGTAAAAGTGTAGACGAAGGGTACTTACAAGAAATATACAAGTGCAGAGCAAAGAAGCTCTTCAGAAGATGGTGTCAATGGTCAGCTTTCTCTTTGGAGGACTTTTTTCAACTACTTGTTTCTGCAGCTCCATGAAAGATGACCCCTTGTGGGCAAACAATCTTCGAAGATTGATCACCGAAAGCTCGTTGAAGCTCGCCACTGTTAGATCTGCCTGTCCAAGATCATACCTGCAAATTTCAGGATTTGTGCCATAATCAGCATTCGATAATATAATGTGAAAGATAAAAACTAAGAATGGTGAATGGGTACGCTGGATGTGCGCCGATCATGGCAACAGCCATCATTGTACAATTGTGAGCTGCAGTTATTCCTCTGGGATCGTCTTCGAACACCACACATTTGGAGGGTTTTCGGTCCAGCTGTAAAAAGGTTGGCAAATGATAGTCGCAAGGAAATTTCGTATGGAGCAAGCTCAAGGTTTTTGCAGCCAAACATACCTTAACAGATGATGAGAGGAATCTATGGGCTATGGATTCCATTCCATCTTCCTCGGACACGATTGCCTGCAACTCCCAAATCGAAAACATTTAGCAGTTTTTCATAGAGTTCCAAATCTTGCATATTGACATGAAATTCAGAATTAACCTGAAAAGACTTTTCCAGCCCCATTCTCTCAAGGGCATTAACCATATTTTTCCTGTCGAGACTAGAAACAACTGCACAAGGGATGCGAGACGTAGCGACAGCATCTAACCACTCTTTTAGCCCCTCTATAGGTTCCGAGAGCTAAATAAAATCATATATATATATATAAAAGGCATGAGTGTGACATTGCTCAGCTGAATCAGGATATATTGCAGATAATAAAATTAAATTTACAGAGCAATCTTACTTTGAGGAGATTATCGTAATATAATTGAGAGAGCCTTGCATTCAATCTATCTATGTCATCTTCGGCCTTCCCCCACAACAACACCTGAAATTTTGGGCAAGACAATATTTACCATCATGTTCGAGCAGAGAGGTTAAAATATTTCACTTTTCTTAGAATAGCCAATGTAAACAAGTATTTGGTAGTATTGGAATTTTCATATGATGAACTTTGATGTATCGCCACGATCAGAGGTATAATCGGATCAAAACGTTATCTTTCAACACGGATAGAACATTATATATACCTACTACCTGTAATATAATACTTAATACTCAAAAGGAAGGCACTCATTTCTTATAACAGTGAATTTTGTTGCTTGCTCGGATAATTAAGTTGCTCCTACTGCTCGTCCAAGAAACTAACTTCCGCCTTACAAAAGCTTTATTTCCTCAAAGCACAATAAAACTAAGTGGGAGCATTAATCACTGTATATACATGTGGAACAGTGAATAATAAATTTACATACTCCATGGGCTTCTGGAAAAGGCAATCAAGGTAAATATTATAAGACTTTCAGTTCTCGATACAGTATGATGGTTTTAATAAACTAAATGAACCTGGTAAAACATATATGAAATTGAAATAGTACAGAATTCCAGACCTTGTGCAGAACATGATCGGCACCTGCAGCCAGCATAAGCCTTTGTACGTTTTCATCGTCAGGGATCTCCTTTCCTGCACCAGGATATATACTTAATAATGATCGGCAGAAATATTCAAGATACGAGAGGTCTCAGGTTAACTATCATCTCAAGGGAGTGTAAAAACAAATCAGACAACAGGACTTTTTGTCTTTTATATTAAAGCAAATCATTAACTTCTTCAGTCGAACTAGATTGGAAAGCCTGCACGGCTCAATTTACATGTTCATGCATTTTAGAACGGAGAAATTGTTTAGTCAGACCTCGGCCCACTCAATTTCTAGGAGTAACCTTTTACAAATAGCACCGTCGAGCAAGTGAAAGATTAGGGACTATCGTGCCTCATCAATATGGTTAAGTCTTTGTACCCCATCATATCTACAGTGTATTCGAAATTGTTCTATACACGAATCTAATTGCACCACTACAGACAAAATATCTAGTTCTTAGGCTCCATCAGTGTCACAATTTCATTCCAAATTGTTTTGATTTCCATATATTTTTTGAAGCTTTTTTTCATGATTGTCACACACACTGGTTCAGTCAGCATCATATACAGGCTAGTGGGTTCAGTTCCACCTCTCCAGCTTGTGCTTTCACATTTGAAAAACTACATTCAGTGTTGTATCTAGATGTATTGCTATCTTGTGGGTTTAATAATTGTTTACTGTTCAAATACTAAATGAGGTGTGATTTCAGAAACATAAATAGGAATAGGGTCCACTTTTCAAATATTTGAACGATGTGATGGTATAAAAAAATGATTATTAGTGATTTGATATATACATATTAATTAATGAATACATTTGAGTGTTTAAATGGAATGATTTGGCTTTGAGATATATATATATAATTATTAAAACTTGAAATTTGCATGTATGCATTTAGATATGAACACTATTTTGAATTCCACCTCCATGGGAGTAATTTTGGTGTGCATGTTTTCTTGGGTTGGTGATGAAAACTTAATAACCAAAAAATAGCTTAAATATTTAAGCCTGTAATATCTAGACTAATAAAGTAGACGTTTTCGCTGTGCAAAAATGTGTGTTAACTGTATTGGAATATGTTGCATAATTATGATTGGTGTATGGGAAAGCATAGCATACTCATTCTCCTAGAAAGCATAGCCTACTTATTGTCCTAAAAAATGTAGGATGTCCTAGAAACTTGTAGAGTATTGAATAGAGTATCTGTGATCTACACAGATAAAGAATAAGAGAGAAAATATGAGTTTACAATGTGAAACTAAATAGTGTTCTTATAGCAACCGGCTACAGTAAAAGAAAAACAAGACTCTGCGTACCTTCTTCAGATGCAAGCTGTTCCCAAGCTTGCAACTTTAATGCTCTAGTATCTGCCTGTAACAAAATTACAGAATTGTCGGTAAAGGAGCAAACGAAATCTGGAAAATCAGCTTTATTATAAATGCTAAAAATTGAATTACAGCTAAGATCTTATGGTGAGAATTGTTAATTTGCTCTCATGTCTCCGGCCTTTTCAATACACTGTGACTTATTAGTAGCACAGGCATTTTGTTTCTATACAATCTAATTATGTGCTTCAGTAAGGCACCAGACATGAAACCAAAAGAGTCTTTCTGACACGATATGCCATGTGTCACTAATGTAGGGAAAAGACACCTTATCATGCTTTCTTTTAGTTATTGTCTCCAGCAAATCTCACATATGATCAAGAAAACCCAAAACCATGTGATCCAACAGTATTGTCTGATGATATATAATAATTATTGTCATAAAAATATAATCAACTATGAAGTCACTAAGTTGCAAGTAGTGATCTTTCAGTTAAAATGAGTTCGTGAATCAACATTGTTAACAGTAGTTATAAAGAATTCCCTTGTTATGGGGCAATGATGTGGGCAAACTTGAAAATCCACGGAGCTACATGCAAAGCATGATATCAGACAGCAATAGCAAGATTATGAGCAGTTCATTCAGAGTAATAAATCTGAAGAAACAGGTAAATTTTTCCTTTCAGACACTCATTTCAATCTTCAACAGATTTTCCATCTACCATTTAATCTCATGCAAAACTATGGTTAGATCACTTCAAACCACCGTCAAATAAAACCATACACCAGTATATCGGTGCATTAACAGATTAGAATCTTCAATCTGACAGCTGTTATTACTTTTATGATTGTTGTGACATATTTGATCCAATAGAATATCACAACTCTTATTCATACCCAGAAAAGAGTAACATAACAATGGTTGTTTATTCTTCCAGCTACTAATTCATTTTCTTTCAAAGGTAAGAATAAACAATAACGTGTCTACATGGCTATGGATCGTTCAAGCTGGCAACAACAATAATAACAACTACGATGATAATAAAAGCTTTACCACAACATTATCCCATGAGAAGATTAGGCCATAGGCTTCATCAGGCTTCATGGAGTATCGAATCCTTTGAAGAAATCCTTCTTGCATTCTATCATTTAAAAAGTCCTAGAAACAACAAGAATCCAACTATTAGTGCTCATCACAAGACATCTACACATGCTGAAAAACACACATACAAAAATAATTATAAACCAGAAAAAGTAGTAGATAGCATTGAGACAAGAAAAAGAATGGTACCATAAGCTTACCACATCAACTTTAAGGGGACCTTCGGGCCTAAATGTCTCAAAACCCTCACCATATTCAGCTCCAATTACCTGCACGAAATCACTAAATAAAATGAGCCTCCATGGAGAAGTATCCCTAAATAGCTCACCAATCTTATCTAAAAAAAAATTAGTAAAGATCACAAAGTATCAGGCAAAAAATGGATTTAATAGCAATATGTACAAGTGCAGCAATTCAAGAGAAACAATTCTTGAAAGCTAACTAAAGTAAACCCTAATCCACCAAAATTAATCAAGTTCACAAAGTAGATAAACCTAAATTCTCAATTGCTCTAGTAACACAACACATAAAAATCAACAATATATATGCACATAAAATATCAGTTAAAATAGATGCACCTCTTCCATAAAAATCCTGTTGGGTATATTAGGGAATCCATTGAATTGCCCATTTTCATCCGAACCGAAAGCGTTCCGCACCGATAAAGCTTTATTTCGGCACTGCTGCTCCGCCGAGCTCGAGCGTTTGAACTTCTGTCCACGGAAGATTCGAGTAACTCAAAATCAACCGAAAGAAAAGAAACAACCGTTGCGAATTACAGCAGTAAGGAGCGAAGAACGTACCGAAAATGTGAATTTGGCGGGGTGGCGCGAGCATAATGGTGGTTGGAGTGTGGAGGTAAGTAGAGAGGAGGGTCTCAAGTTCAGAGCATTCTCCATTTTCAGAGGTCGGAAAGATCTCAGGAATCGTCTGTAATAAAGCAGCTGTTATTTCATATGGGCTTCAATTTGGGCCTCCATCTACCTCTTAATTCATAGTCTCTTATAAAATATTAGTAATTTTTATTACTTGCGCATATAATGTCATTTTAAATTATATAATTTGTAATTTTTTTTATTATCTTAACTTTTATTTATAATTATATATATTATATTATAATTAATTTTATTAATATATTTTTAATTATTTACTAATTATATTTTTCATATATATTATATTATAATTAATTTTATTAATATATTTTTAATTATTTACTAATTATATTTTTCATAAACTTTCGAATAACACTAACATAGTACATAGATGGATGAAATATTATTTTTATTTTTTTAATAATGTAAAATTTTGGTAAAATGTTTCTTTTATACATATGTAATAACTGAGTGTGTTTAAAAAATTTAAAAAAAAGGTTAATAATTAAACTCTAAAACTCTTGGTATGTTTGTTTAATATTTTGGTTTGAGATATATGATATATATATATATATTTTTAAGTGAATTATATAGAATTACGTAAATAATATAAAAATAATATTTAATGTTGAATGTTGCTTTTTCTTATGATAAAGCATATATTAGAAATCGTGTTCAACGTTTTTTTCTTTTTAAAGAACAAAATCCAAAGATGTGTTTGTTTTTTGTTTTAAACTCAAATCTCTACAGTTTAGTTCCCAAAATTGTCAATAAATTTAAAATTTTATATAATAATGATTTAGTATAATATTTTATAAAAAAAATTAATATATTATCTTAATACGGAATAAATCCAAAAAATTCAAAGTAAGCATAACAAAAAACTATCATTTTTTTTCCTTAATGCAAACTTAAATGTAGAATAATAGAATTAGATAAATATATTTATATTATATTCTTTTTTAATTTTATTTTAATTTTTTTAATGCATTACACGGGTTTGTTTGCCCAACAAAACTTCTCCCCACATATTTTAATATAGACAGAATGTTCCTCTAACATTTTTTAATAGAATATTTTTTCATAAATATTATTAAAAAAAAATGTATAAATATACATACATTAATAAAATATATATTATTCATTCATCAAAATTCAATTATTTAATACAAAATATTATTTTTTATATTATCAACACAATTATTCATACCACACAAAAATCAATTTATCTTAGAAGGCTGGTTGAACAAACTAGTATTTTTTTTAATTTTATCAACATAATTTCTCATACCTAATAAAAAAAAAACACGTTTATTAGAAAATACAAAATTCAAACATATGTCTTTTTCAACATCAGTCATTGGTTCAACTCCTACGTCTTTAGGTCCATCTGCCACACATGGTTCACCTAGTGTAATTTGTTTTGTCGGGCCTAATTTGCAGGATATTAGGTTCGGCCGGGTTTTCCAGTACACACTTTCGAGTAGCGACTGCGGATTTCCACGTCATAACAAAAAAAAAAATTATAATATGCTGATTATACTTTCCGTTTTTTTTTTTCACTTGTATTTTAAATTTTGATGTTTTTCAAATGAAACAATTATTAAGTATATTATTTTTATAAAAAGATTTTAAGAGATTGAAAATAATATTAATGATAATAATAATAATAATAACACACACATGATAACACCCTAAGTTCCTCAAGATTCAATAGTAGTAATTTAATTTCAACCACAAACACAAGAAAAAGTGATCATATCTCTCCAACAACTACAACAAAAAAGTAATCTTTCAGTCTCTTATCAAAAAGTAATGCATGGGTTCAAACTTTCGATACCTTCGAATCTTGCATATCACATATAATTCGCCTAATATGATTTAATAAAAAGATGTCTAATTACAATAGCCAAAATGATGAACTTGCCTCCAAGTTATACTACATTGCAATAACATGCAATCACCTCCCCATGCATACATCAATGCTTCCAACTTCAGCTTTAATTCATATGGTCTCTCCAAATCCGTACATGGTGCAATAAAATAGGTTCTATCATTGCATGATATTTCCCTACAAAAAAGAAAGCACTACAATTATATCAGTATGATTCAAAGATGATTCTGCTACTTGTTTGAGTTTTGACATTGTATTGCATTGTATTTTTGTTAATCTCACAGAATTATTAAATAGCAATCAAATCCTAAAATGCTATAGCATAATAACAAATGATGGAATAACCAATATTTAATAACTTAAAAAATGAATACACGGTTAAATTGAATTTTTTTAATGTTGTAACTGGACTCTTTTATCATTTTAGTGTTGTAATTAAAGATTGTCGCAAACTAGTCACGTAAGTGAAAAATTTTCGCACTCGCCGGAGAATGCGTGTCCGCCAAGTCAGTGACATCTAACGGACACTTGGATTTTTTTTCTTTTTTATTTTATTTTTAAATTTTAATTTATTTATTGTCTTTTTTGTAAAAATTAAAATTTTCAAACAAATATTTAAAAAATAAAAATAAAAATCCAAGTGTAAAAAAAATTCCAATTATCGTTGATCTGACAGACACGTGTGCTCCGACGAGCCGCGGGTGCCACATAAGCATCTCCGGCGTCGGAGGACTAAAAGCACAAAAAATTTTCACTTGCAGAACTAGTTTGCGACAAGCTCTAGTTACAAGACTAAAATAATAAAAGAGTTAAATTACCGGACTAAAAATTCAATTTATCCAAAATAAAGAATATACCTACGAAAGTTACTATATATGCAAAATTACAATAAAAATGTATATAAAAGAAAGTTTATAAACTAATCATATAATTTTCATTTGAATCAATAAAATGTAAAAAATATATGACAATGGGCCGTTCTATAAGATTAAAAAAAAAAAAAAAAAAAAAAAGACTATATTTTGATAAAGAAATATCAAAGTTAATAACAATCAAATTATGATAACCAATTTTATTCCTCAAAATTATATTATTTTACATGTAGACGACCACATATGGAGACGGTAAGATTCCACGTTAGATTATGTAAATAATTGTCTTACTTAAAAGTTTAATACGCATCATTAATTTATTTATCTACAAACAACTCAAATCAATATTATTCACATAGTAGAATTTTTGATAAAAAAAATATATATATTATTTTTCTTATAAAATATTATATAACAAAATTATTTAAATAATAAATCAGCATCTCAAATTAATTTCAAACTGCAATTAAACAAACTAAAAATAGTCTTACTTAAGGGATGATTGGTGATATGGTGAACTCGTAACCGTGAGATCACCAATAGTCTAACAAAAAATAATCGATTAAATTGAGATGAGGAGAATATTATACTAAAAAATTGATTTTAAAGGAAATAAACACACCCAATATATGCATGTCCTACTTAGTTAGTGGATTTCAATATATATGACGCTATGATTTCACAATTCTTTTGTAGATTGATTAGAAAAATATATTAACCAACCAAACATAAATATGCAGAGAGTCACACACAACCACATCCAGAAAGTGCACCAAAAAGTTGCATAAGCCTATAGCAACTTGGATGCAAAAATCAACACGGATCGAAGAACACATACGATTGACTGAAGAAATTTTCGAAATAGAGATGAAATGTCTACATACATATACATGATAAACTGATCTGCAGAAATCCAGAATCTTCCGCTGCTCTAAACTTTTTAAGCTACAGCAGAAAGAAGCATCAGTTTCTTCGCAATTTTTTTAAAACCTAATCATCAACGGCAACACAAAATCCGCAGAGAATTGCATCTTATTTCCAAGCAATCAAAACACGCCAAAATCCGATAAACCAAAAACGTAGCAACAATATTCCAGATTAAAAGAAGAAGCGGAAATCGAAATTAAACTAAAAAACAGAAGAATCCAAAGAAAAAAAAAAAAAAAAGAATAACCGCAAACCATTTCCGGAAGGCGTTGTTGCAGTCAGAACCATAGCGAAAGTCGTGGATCCTTTTCTCCTGCTCTCGACTGGTACATCATTGATTCAAATTGAAACTCCCAGCCATTATAGCAAAGCTTCGGAGCTCCAAAAATGCACCTTCACACCCAACACCAGAAATACCAATTTATAGAGAGGATAGCCCAGGCGCAAAACTAACATGCGCTTGGCGTAGCTTAGCCATGATCAGCTCTTACATGATATGGTACGCCAACTCAATGCACAATTACTAATCCTATTTAATATTTTCAGTAATAATAATATTATTATATTTTTCCAGTGTTCAGCGGATCAATAATTATTTATCAACTAATTGTGTTTTTTTTTTATATTTATTTAATTATTATGATGTTATGGTGGCGCATTTTAGCAGGGAGGCTAAATTGGGCCGGCGGGACGTTAGACAAGACGGGACGCACTAAAGTCGTGTGAATAATTCCCGTTTAGGATAACAACTTTAGAGGTGTCTCGTGTTCTGCTCGACACGTTTTCTTAAACCGGACCGCCGTCAAATCTCCTTCCCACACACTGAAATGTCTAAACTACCCTTCCCTGGAGGGGGAGCACTAAAGACAAATGAGGGGTAGCTTGGAGATATCGTCTGAATTGATGACATGAGAACGACGATAATTTTACTCGGAAGCGAAAGATTGATGGATTATAATTTATAAGAGCATAGCATACGCAATAATGAAGAAAAAGAAAAATAAAAAAAATCGCATAGGAAATGAATGGGGTGGAAATGAATTTGTTATCAACGGCGCGAAACCAGATCAAATTTTGAAGGGGGGCAAATATTTTTTATTTATAAAATAATTTATTTTATTTTATTTTATTAAAAAAGAACAAATTAGAACAATATCGACAATTATACATTATGATTATATATATTATGAATATTTATTTATATTTTTTAAAATTCAAAATAATACAATTTTTCATAAAAAGAAAAAACAATTCAACACTAATATTATTATTATTTATTTATTTCAACCATCGTCCGTAGATTATATATGCATATATATATATATATATATTTTAGGTAAATAAATAAACAATGAAATAAGGATAACATGGGATGGGTGGGTGGGGCCTTTGAACAAGTCCGTCACTGTTCGTCATCGTAAAGTCATGGGTTTAAACACCGACGTTTTCATATTTTGTCAGCTACGTATAATCCGTCTAGTTGTGATTTGTGTTGTCCGGTCAAGTAATATTTTTTTACTTAAAAAAAAAGAAAAATAAATTTGAATGACAATAAAGTGGAAATAGATTTGGACGAGAGAGAGAGAAGATTATAAAATAGATAGAGTGACCAATGTGATTTAAGTACATGGAACTCTAACGCAACTTTAAAACTACATACGGATTTGGTGGTGTTATTCGAAATTACAAATGAGTGTTATGCAACTCTGCTATCTTTTTAAGAAAATAGAAAATCGAAACTAAAAAAAAAACATATAACATTCAGTCATCATTAAAATTAAATTAAAACCCAAAAGCAAACACAAATTTAAGGCAAACAAATTTGAAGGAAAAGAAGTAGTAGTATTGCAATGATATGAAACAAGTTTTAGATGATGCATTAAATTAAGAGCCACACTACACCACCAAATCATACTATGCTATACCATATATACTACTTAATTACTGTTTGAAATACCAACAACTCTCAAATCAAAAGCAAGCCAAGCCAAGAGTAGAAACGAAGCACACAAATATACATATATATATATATATGTACGTATATGTACTATGAAACGAAGCACAGTAAAGTAGAGATAGAATTAGAACTCACCTGGATTGGGATTGGGATTGGGATTGGGATTGGGATTGCTGGAATGCTGCTGCTGCTGCTGCTGCTGCTGAGCTTTCTTCTTGGTCTTGGTCGGAATGGGGACCTGAAAGAAGCCGATCTTCTTCCTCTGAAAATAGTAATGTCTGCTGCTGCTGCTGCTGCTGCTGTGAGCTTCCTCCTCCCTCTTGCTTGGAATTGGATTCAGCACAACTCTGCTCTGCTTCCTCAGCATTTGGCTCAGCGACACGTGCTGCTGCACACCTTCCCAACCACCATGCTCCTTCTCCACCATCACGTCGTCCTGCACCATGAATTTCCTGCTCAGCACTTCCCCAATTGATCGCGTCGGGCTCTCCCTCGATCGACCTGATGAATGGGAATTCCGGAATTTGAATCTGCTTTCGTTCGTCTGGGCCTGGGGATGATTTTTGGGGTTGGGGGTGATGTTTTGCTCGAATTTTTCCAGGATCGGAGCTTCCGGCGGATGTGGTTCGGCGCTGCGGCGGAGTGCGGCGCTGTTGGCGGTGGTGTCGATGAATTTGGTGTTGCAGAGACTGTCAGCCTGTTTGGCTTTCTGCGCGAGAGCTCTGTACTCTTGGAAGGAGAGAGTGATTCCGTCGGAGTTGTGGAGGAGATTGGGTGGTGATGGTGAAGGACTTTCGCCGTTGGTTTGGAGCTTCGTCTCTGCAATGGCGATGGCTTCCACCGCCTTCGCGGCTTCCTCCATTTTCTTCGCGGCGGTTAGTCTCATCTCCGCCATTTTTATGCTGTTCTTCGTCTGTTCTATCTCCGCCATCGCCTTTATCACTTCGTACCTTGAAGCTTCCGTCATCTTCCTGAACTGCTCCGCCTCGTAGCTTCTCTGATTCGTTTCGTTGCAGAGCTGCAGCTTCTCGTCTCCGTTGAAAGCCTGCTGCAGGTATGGCGGAAGGTGATCCTCGTGACTCTGTATCTGGATTTTAGTCGTCTGTTCGAGGAGAACCTTGTCGCGGCGGAGCTTCTGGTTCAGAGAATCGACGGAGGCTTGAATCACGGCGAGGTCGACGGAGGTTTTGTTGAGGTTCAATTTCGCCTGATTCAACTCCACCGCCATGAAGGAAGCCATCTCCGGCGGCATCATCAAGTTGAGCTTCAAATCTTCGACGAATCTTCTAGTAGCTTCCAGTTCCTTCAACACATTCAGCGTTTCCTGTTCCTTCGCCGTCAGATCCCTCTCCAATTTCTCCGCCTCCTCCTCGACGTCGCCGCCGCCGTCCTGCTGCTGCAATCAACAAAACCGATCCGCGTGATTCACACGCGCCGCCGCAAACAACAACAACAGAAATAAATAAGAACAAAACTGACATGAACGCCAGCAATACGAAGCAAGTGATGCGGAATCCACGGCCCACTCCCGCCGAACCGATCCACCGCCTCCTTCACCGACTCGAACGGCGGCGAGGTGTCGATCTCCGCCCTAGGGTTGTTATTGTTAACCACCACTTTCTTCGTCGAAAAACCAGATTCCGCGTTTTCCGCCATGGCAATCGACCTCAAAATTGAGGAATTTCTGGAATTCAGAAACGGAAACTTCCTTTACTTGTTTATATACGGCTACAGAGACAGCACCATGATTGTCGTCCAACTGCAATGCAATGATGGTGTTCGGAAGGCAAATGTAAATGCAAATGTGCAAAAATAGGGCTGTGGTGGGTCAAACTGCCTGCAAACCGCTAGCGGCAATTGCACTGCGCCAGACGGCAGAGGACAGTACGGCGTGCCTTCATCGCCATGGCCGCCTCCATTAGAGAGACCTCAAGGTTAGGACCATCTCTCTTTTCTTTTTCACTCACAATTATTACTCTCAATTATTTTATTTTATTTTATAGTTATAGTAAAATTGATTCATTTTTCTTTCAATGTACCAGGATTTGCTTTAATTGTGTTCTGAATTTAATTCGGTATTAATGATTTAATTATTTTTAACAGAAAATAGGAATGGAATGATTTTATTTATTTAATGAAAATTAAATTTTTAAGTATAATATATTGTGTAGAAAATTAATTTTATTGTCAATTACTAAATACAAAAATAGGTAAAGAAAAGTGAATCCGCGAATTTGTTTTGTATTTGTTTGAGTCATTTTCATTAAATATATTTTGCAAGCATACTTACTTGCGCGTATATTTGTTTGTATATCATACAAATATTTATACATTAAAATTAAAATAATTAAATAATAAAATTTATATTATAATTAAAATATATAATAATTGTTTTAGAAAATACAAATTACGTTAGACGGATAAAAATAATAAATTAAACATTTTATATAGGCTCGAGAGAGTATTATGTAGAAATATTAGATTAAATGTTTATTATTTTTTATATATGGTAAGAATGCAATATATAAATTGTTTGGTTGTTTTGAAATTAATTTAAATAAATGATGTATTGATTTAAGTTTTTATATAAATAATATTTTAATATGATATTTTATAACATATATTAACATATTTTTATTGAAAATCATACGAAATGAATAATGTAGATTTTAATTTAAAAAAAAAATCTATCAAGGTTTGTTTGATTGTAATTTTTAAAATTGATATAAAATGATGTGTTAATTTGAATTTTTGTTTAAATAATATTTTTATATAATATTTTATGAAAAAAATTATATATTTTACTAAAAAATGTAACAAATAAATAGTATTGATTTTAGTTTTAAATGGTAAAAGAACAAACTCAAGTATTTTACAATGAATTGTTAAGCTATTCATTTACCAATTAACTTATTTTGACTTAAGATATATGCTTATTATTATTATTATTATTATTATTATTATTATTATTATTATTATTGGGGTGCAAACTCAAGTCTTATACTGAAAAATTTGAAGAAAATCTAACACTTTATTCATTATTAGGAATTATTAAATAATAATAAATTACTTTTTTATAAATATTTTGTAAAATAAAAAACAATAAGTGTGCTATATAAATATGAATAGTTTTTAGGATCAAGAAATTTAGAATGAAAATGTTTGTTAAATTCTGACTAATATAGCTTTTTAAAATGAGCATTGAGGCTCCAACAAATTCTTTCATAAATATTTAGTAATTGCTAAATGTTTTAATTAATTGTTTGACTCATTAAATTATTAAAAATTATTGAATAATTAAAATTGTTGAATGAGGTAAGTGTTAAATACTTTCCTTTTTCTTTTAATAAAATCGGGGTTTCAAACCCACCCCAGGGGCTATCTCTTCCGGACTAAGTATTAAATACTTATATATATATATATATATATATATATAATATTTATCTACTTTGGCTCTATATTTGTATTTTGTATTTAATTGTTTATTTAAATAATAATTTAATAAAAATAACTTATAAAAAAATAATGTGTTTTTTCAAGAATTATGACAAACATTTTGTTTGTTTGTTTTTTTTTTACATTATTGTCCTTTTAATTATTATTTTAAAAAAGGCATGACATGTCCCGTAAATGATGATCTAGTGGTGTAGGGATTGGACTTGTAATCATGAGGTCATAAGTTCAAACTTTCGATGCAACAAATTATTGTTTCAAAATTTTTTATACTCTATAGAATATATATGTAATTAAAATTATATTACCATATTCTCTAATTTATCAAATAAACTGCTATCCTAGAAAATTAAAAAGCTGTCCGGATCTTCGAATCCAAAGATTGCAAAAGAAAAACTCAGAATTTTTTACTATATAATTTTCATAATGCTCAATAAATTTTTTTACATAATATTAAATTACTATTATAAAACAAATACTTTTTCTATTTTAAAGGAATATACTTTTTTGAAAATTTAAAGCAAAATAAAAAATAATAATATTTTGTAAATAATTTTAATATTTTTATTTTTTGTATTTATGTATATAGATGATATACATAGTTTATCTAAAAGTTAAAAATATTGTAATATTAATGTGTTAAGTTTTTTTACTAAAATAAAATTACTATTTTAAATAAAATATATAAAAATAATAAAATATTATACTTTTAATTAAGACAGAGGAAATATTGGGAATGTGTGTGTGGATAGGTTTGGGCTGTGTAAATTTTGAATGGCAAAAGGGGCTTTAATTATAATTCAATTTAATATATTTTTAGAGCGAAAAAGGGTAAAAGGATGTGCTATTAATTCACTTTTGGTATCACCTTTTTAGTCACATTATTAATATTACAATCAATGCCCACACACTCTTTTACTTTTTATTTGCGTGATTGCAGGAAAAAGAGACTATGTTTTTAGGGTGTGTTTCGATTGGCTTTTGAGTTAGGAATTTGAATAGTAAAAATTTTGAATTTGAATAATTGTATAATGTGATATAAATAAGTGTTGAGTGATATTTTTAATATAAAATTAATTTTTAGTATAATATAAAAAATAAAAAAATAGATGTTTGATTTAATATTTTTGGATGAAAAATAAGATGAATAGCATATTTAAAATACAATATCTAAATAAACACACCCTTAAGTGTTTTTTCTTTCATCATTCTATTTTATTACTATTTTATTTTTCATTTTTAGAATGTTCTACTCCCTCCGTCACATTGAAAGGTTGTCATTTTCCATTTTCGTTCGTCCCAAAACAAAGTTACTATTTTCTAATTTAGTAATTGTACTACCTACTTAACATAATAAATACTCTTTCAACTTATAGTATATTACACAAATGTCATTACTTTTATATTACACCATACTAGTAGGAGTATTTTTGTCCTTTTTTAATACAATCCAATATAATACTAATATTCAAAAATCTACGTGCAAAAAACAAACGTCACCCTTCCAACGGGACGGAGGGAGTACTTAATATTTATTTTTTATAAAATATTTTACACATAATATATATTTTATTTTAAAAACATAAAAAAAGTAAACACTCTCTCAGTAGAATTAAGAGAGAAAAAAATCATGAACGCCTCAAGTCACCTGTCACGCATGGTTCACCTAGTGTGACTTGCTTGTCGATCTAGTTTGTAGGATATTAAGTTCGATCAGATATTTACTCAGTGCGCATTTTCGGGTAGCGGCTGCAAATTCCTAATGTCAATAAAAAAAGAAAAAATCATGATTGGTCAAATATTTTTTATCATAATAAAGATTTTGTAAATTTGTACATAATCTTTACAAGGTCATGTTCAAACAAAATCTTTTTCATATTTTGTTTGAAATGAGAGTAAAATAAAATTGGTTTGCTTTCAAAAAAATAAAAAAATCACATAACATAATTGAAAAATGTTTTTAAAGTATATATTGTCTCAGTTAGTATATTGTCAAATTATTAATTTATTTTTATATTAAATCAAATGTGACTGTATTTGTGGACAAGCTAGGTAGTTGATTTAGAGCACTTACAATGGGGTGTTTACTCCACAGCTCATCCGTCTCATATTTATATATTTATTTGTTTTATATATTCATTTGTTTTTTATACGGAGTTTTAAAAATATTAGAATAAAGTAGAAATAAAGGTAAAAAGACTAAATTAACCCTATTAGTATTGTATGATATAAATGTAATGACATTTGTGTAATATATTGTAAATTGGAATGGTAGTTGTAATGTTAGATAGTTAGTACAATTACTAAAAAAGAAAATAAATACTTTGTTATGGGATGAACCAAAATAAAAAATGGATAGATTGTTAAGCAACGGAGGGAGTAGTATAATATAATGATGTGGCAAATCATATCACATATTTAATTTTTTTTAAAAATAATAAATTAAAACATAAGAACTGTTCTCTTATATATTTTAAAATTTTATTATATATATTATTTAATATAAATTATAACATTATGTATAGTTATTTTTTATTTTTAAAATTAACAATAATAATATTAAAGATAAATCAAATAACTAATATAATTTAGTTATTTATTTATTATATTTTTTAAATAAAATTTTTAATTATTAAAATATTAAAATATTATATTACTTAAACATAAGTATACAATATTACATTTTTCTTTATTAAACTCAAAATATTATAATACATAGAAGATGCATTTTAAATATATATTATATAATATTTGTATTAAATAAAATAATAAAGTTATTGATGGGGAAGAGAAAGAAATTTAAAAATTTTATTTTGCGTTTACATTATGAGAGAATAATTGATTGAATTTTTTATGAGTTCATGTAATATAAAATATAAGAACGATTTATATAATTTGGATTGTACATGGGCTTAGCAGACAAGTTTAGACTATACGGTAATAATGGACATGCAAGCAAAGACAATTTAAGTGTATAAAAGCATTTGTTGTTATAATTATTTTATTTTATTACATCATTTATCTCTCTTATTATACACTCATTAATTTTATATTTTATCCGTTCCATCTTTTGTATCTGGTTTAATATAGATATGAGAATTTGTGTAAAATATAATTAGTAAATAATTAAAAAGTGTATTAATAAAAATAATTATTGTATAATAAAATTATTTATAAATTAAGATTAAGATAACTAAATAAAATAATCAAAATTTAAAAAAATATTAATAACTATGAAATTTAAATGAGATTTAAATGTATAATTATATTTCCTAAAATGACAGGACAAATAAGGTGGGACGAACAAAAGTAAAAATGGAACAGATAGACTATTATTTATATAATTTTCTATACCTCATGTCAAATATTTTCAAACAATTTCACTAAACAAACAAATAAAGCCTTATTATTATTTTTTTAAATAATACAAATTAAATCAATATTTAAAATAATATTTTTATGAGAGAATTAAAAAATTATTATCAATGAATAATATAACAACTTTTAA